CTCTCTTTTTCTCTTTCTTTCTTTCTTTCTTTTCCTTCCTTCCTTCCTTCCTTCCTTCCTTCCTTCCTTCCCTCCCTCCTTTTTTTTCTTTTCCTTCCTTCCTTCCTTCCTTCCTTCCTTCCTTCCTTCCTTCCTTCCTTCCTTCCTTCCTTCCTTCCTCTCTCTCTCTCTCTTTCTTTCCCTTCCTTTCCTTTCTTTTTTTCTTTCTTCTCTCTCTCTCTCATTTGTTTTTGAGACGGAGTCTCTATGACACAGGCTGGAGTTCAGTGGCAAGATCTCGGCTCACTACAACCTCCACCTCCTGGATTCAAGTGATTCTCCTGCCTCAGCCTCCCTAGTAGCTGGGATTACAGGCGTATGCCACCGTGCCCGGCTAATTTTTATATTTTCAGTAGAGATGGGGTTTCGCCATGTTGGCCAGGCTGGTTTCGAACTCCTGACCTCAAGTGATCCACCTGCCCTTGGCCTCCCAAAGTGTTGGGACTACAGGCGTGAGCCACCACACCTGGCTCTTTTCCCACTTTCTTAACTAAGCCAACTCTTAAGACTCAGTCAACATGGCAACACCTCCAGGAAGACTTTGAGACAAGAAATAGCTTTAGTCTGGTCTTCTGGCCTATGAGCCTCTGCCATCTCTCTCCGTCTTTCTTCTGTTCTCATTCTTACCTGCCTTCAAAGGGTTTCCACTCCACTTGGCCTCCCGGCTGTTCAAACAGGCCTATCGCACTCCTGCTCTCGCGTCTCTACCTCAGAATTATCTTCCCATGGTCGGTCTGGCTCAGTGCTTCCACTCCTCTAGGTCTTTGCTCATCTGTCATCTCTCAGGAGGCCTTTTATCACCCATCCTAGCACCCCTTTCCATTCTTCCCTGCTTTTTCGTTTTTCTTTCTTTCTCTCTTTCTCTTTCTTTCTTTCTTTCTTTCTTTCTTTCTTTCTTTCTTTCTTTCTTTCTTTCTTCCTTCCTTCCTTCCTTCCTTCCTTCCTTCCTTCCTTTCTTTCCCTTTTTCTTTCTCTCTCTCTCTCTCTCTTTCTCTCTTTCTCTCTTTCTTAGACAGAGTCTCACTCTATTGCCCAGGCTGGGGTACAGTGGCATGATCTCGATTCACGCAAACTCCACCTCCCAGGTTCAAGTGATTCTCCTACCTCAGCCTTCCGAGTAGCTGGAATTACAGGTGTGCGCCACCACATCCAGCTAATTTTTGTATTTTTAGTACACACCAGGTTTCACCATGTTGGCCAGGCTGGTCTCGAACTCCTTACCTCAAGTGATCCACCCGCCTCAGCTTCCCAAACTGCTGGGATTACAGGCGTGAGCCACCGCGCCTGGCCTTCCCTGCTTTTTTTCTGTAGCACTTTGAATCGTCTGACAACTTATATCATTTACATTCTTTGTTTACCCTTTCTCCTCCTTTAGAACTCTGGCTCACCGCTTTATCCTCAACACTAGCAATTCAATGAATATCGTACCTATGGGAAAAGAAGGGGGGTGGGGAAGAAAGGGAGGAAGGGGATAGAAAGGAAGGATTAAAGGTCTTTCAAATTTCCCTATTTTCATAAGACAGCACTGCCAAGACCCCTGATAACCTTGGACATCCCCACATAGCCACATAGCCAAGGCCTGACTGCAGTCTACCCTGAGTCCTGGACAAATGCCTGGATTTCCCTGGCAGCAAGGTTTCCTTTTTTTTTTTTTTGATTGAGTGAGGAGAATTTATTGATGGCACACGACAAGGTGGGGCTCCCTAGGTGTCTCCCTCTTCACGCGGTCTGCGTGGAAACTGTGAGGAGGGGAGATTCTCCGTGTGGTGGGGCCTGAGTGGCGCAGGGACTCTCCAGCAGTGAGGGCCTCTCTCTTCCTCTCATGCTCTCACTGGGTCTGGTGGTCCAGGGGTCTTACTCCTTGGAGGCCATGTGAGCTCTACCACCCTGTTGCTGTAGCCAAACTCATCGTCCTATCAGGAAATGTGTTTGACAAAGTGGTCATCGAGGGCAATGCCAGCTCCAGCATCGAAGGTGAAAGAGTGGGTGTCGCTGTTGAAGTTGGAGGAGACGACCTGGTGCTCAGTGTAGCCCTGGATGCCCTTGAGGGGCCCTCCAAAGCCTGCTTCACCACCTTCCTGATGTCATCCTATTTGGCAGATTTTTCCAGATGGCAGGTCAGGTCCATGACTGACACGCTGGCAGTAGGGACACAGAAGGCCATGCCAGGGAGCTTCTGGTTCAGCTCAAGGATGACCTTGCCCACAGTGCTTACCTATCTTATAGAAGAGTCTCACAAGGGTGTTTCTCATCTATGTCTCTAGTTTAGTTGAGACTAGGGCTTTTCATCTTCTCCTTTCTCTGCACCCCCTACAAGTTGCTTCACTTTAGGATGGAGCCACAGGTCTCTGTGTAAGTCTGGAACTGCTTGCTGAAGTTTACAGTTTGTTCCTTGACAGAGTGACCTACCACTCATAACACCTGTCATCCGACCTCTGAGACTGGCAATGCTGTCCCATGGGATTAGAGATGCAGGGAGCTGACATCATGTTGGTCTTGATTGTGCTGTTTTGTGAGGCCTGAGAATTGCTTAACTGCTTGAAACTCCTCACCTTCACCTTGTCTCTGTGGACACAGATATTCCTTGGAGTACTATACAGTCCCAATTAACAGAGCTTTCAATACTCATTTTGCAGCTCATCATTAAAATTCATTCTTAGTAACTGATGTAAAACAACGAATTGTTTACCTAACAACTATTGTTATACATGATACAACACACACACACACACACACACACAGAGAGAGAGAGAGAGAGAGAGAGAGCACGCGCTAAGGTCAGAATACCATGGGGGAAAAGAAGAATAGAAGAATCTGGTGGTCAATTCCCTTACATTCTTCTGTTGACAAATTTTCTTGTTGGGACCTTCACTTATTTCATTAAAAGATGGTGGCTAATGATATACTTTATTACTCAGAAGCTTTTTATGTATTTATTTGTTTTGGAGACAGGGTCTCACCATGTTGCCCAGGTTGGAGTGCAGTGATGTGATCATAGCTCACGGTAGCCTCCACTTTCTACACTCAAGCAATCCTCCAGCCTCAGCCCGAGGAGTAGCTGGGACTACAGGCACACACCATGCCTAGCTTTTTTTATTTTTTTGTAGATATGGGGTTTTGTCATGTTGCCTAGGCTGGTCTTGAACTCCCGGGCTCAAGCAATCCTCCTGCCTCAGCCTCCGAAAATGCTGGGATTACAGGTGTGAGCCACCACAGCCGGCCATCACTCAGAATCTTAAGTCATTGTCAAACAATGGAAAGCATACAAATCAAACAGTAGTCCAATTCTAGAATATAAAAAGAAAGCTCTAATATTCAAAGACCAAACAGATTTTACAGGACTGTCATTACTGTCATTAAAAAGTAAAACTGGCCAGTTGTGGTGGTGCATATCTGTAATACCAGCACTCTGGGAGGCCGAGGTGGGAGCATTACTTGAGCCCAGGAGTTTAAGACCAGCCTGGGCAACATGGTGAGGCCCCATCTCTACAAAAAGTACAAAAATTAGCCAGGCTTGGTGGCATGCTCCTGTAGTCCCAGCTACTCGGGAGGCTGAGGTGGGAGGATCACTAGTGCTTGGAAGGAGGTTGCAGTGAGCTGAGATGGTGCCATTTAGCCTGGGCAACAGAGCAAGATCCTGTCTCAAAAAAAACAAAACAAAACAAAACAAAACTGATTCTTCAGAATAGGGTATCAAATATGTAAAGTAATAATTTGAGAAACATGAAAAAGTGTTATGTGTGAAGAAAATCAGAAAATTGAATCTGTATTATTTTAATGTAAAAGCACGCACATATGTGAAACAAAGTGGAAGGGAACACTAAAGAAAAAAATGGGCGTGATTGGGTCATGGGAGCATGTTTGTTACTTTTTGGTTGTAATGTTTGTGTGATACAAGAGGGAGAGAAATTACTTTCGAAATGTACTTGTTAACTTTAGCAAAACCTTGTGGAAATTAAACTGCTAGTTTTAAAATAAGACACAAGCACTAAAATAATAGAAGTCATGTTTCATTTTTATTAACTTAGTTTTGCCATGGTTGAGACTGGATTCACCACAGTTCAATTTATCAAGCACTTAACTATGTGTTCCCCACATAATAATCATCTTAGCATAGAGGATCATCTCTTCTAATCCTCACAAGAGATACTATTTTTATCACTTCATAGAGGAGGTTAATAAACTTTCCTAGGTCATAAGATCTTCAGTTGAAATTAGGATTTCAACCCAGAGCCAAGTAATGTAATGGCTGCTGTTTTCCATAGAGAAAATGTAAGCTGAGATGATGCTCAAACTATAAATCTGGAACCTTAGGGGGACAAAAACGTATGGATGTCTCCTTCCTATTACTTTAGCATTTTAATTAGACCCATGTGTCTCTATTTGTCTTTGGACATGCAAGCTGCTTGCAGTTCATCATAGCGAACTCACACGATTCATTTCATGAAACACAAACCTGTTCTTACAAACTCACTGTCATCTCTTTTTAATCTTACTAATTACGATAAAAATCACATTGCACTTTACCCTGTGTAACCTCCAATGATCTTTGACCAAAAGCCAAATCTTCTTTGTGTGTGTTTGCTTTATGGACAGTTAGGTTCTATACAGGTACTTAAACATGAAAATTGAAATCATAGAGGCTGGGCACGGTGGCTCATGCCTGTAATCCCAGCACTTTGGAAGGCCGAGGCGGGCGGATCACCTGAGGTCAGGAGTTTGAGACCAGTCTGACTAACATGGTGAAACACCGTCTCTACTAAAAATACAAAAATTAGCTGGGCTGGTGGCCTGTGCCTGTAATCCCAGCTACTCAGGAGGCTGAGGCAGGAGAATCGCTTGAACCCGGGAGGCGGTGGTTGGAGTGAGCCGGGATCATGCTATTGCACTCCAGCCTGGGACACGAGGGCGAAACTCTGTCTCAAAAATAATAATAATAAAAAATAAAAAAATCATAGAAACTATACCAGAAAATAGGAAACAAAACGAACAGTGAAGAGAGTGAGAAAAGGAGGCAGATATGTAGAAGAGGAAAAGGAAGGGGGCCCAAGTGAGGCCGGAAAAACCGGGGAGAAGGAGCGGGCTCATTAGGTCAGAAGCAACCTGCCGTCTTCTAAGTTCTGGCCAAGGGTAGATCAACAGATCCAGATTCCTGAGTTTTAAAATGTTATTAGGCTGCTTCATCACTTGTCCCTGACGTTGCGGCGACTCCGATGGTAACTTTAGTCTCCATTGCTTGGAGCAGCCACAGTGTACACCGGACAGGATATTCCGCGCAGCTGTTGCTGAACTCAAGGCAACTCCTATCGCCTCTTTTCGGGGCTCAAGATTCCTTGCATTATTGCCCATAGGCATGTGTTTTACCCCACACCCCTTCTCCCTTTTATCTTGATTTTCGTGGTGCTGGGGAGTCTGCAGGGATTCCATGGCGACGGGTTCACTGGGACAGGGGCTGGGGTTGTGCGTCCCTGAGGCAAAGCAAATACAGAAAAGCGAATAGAGATAGAGGACTAAGACTCCAAGGCACTGAAAGGTAGAAACTGGGTTATAAGAGAGAGGGGAGCACAGACGCCCGGAGAGAGCCTGCCCTCGGGATACCACTGGCAGTAGGCTGGCCTGCGAACAACTAGAAGGTCCAAGTCCTGAGCGTCTGGTTACCCGGGCAACTGTATGGTCTCGCGATACAGACCTCGCGCCTGCGCACTGCCGCTGTAGGGGGCCCTGTCCGGAGCCTCCACCCCGGGGCCTAAACTCGAATCTAAAAGATGGGGCCTCGTTGTGTTGTTTCCGGGCCGCGCGACTCTGTGGGCTGCTTTCCCCTTTCCGGAGTGACCTAACACAGGATAACGAAACCTGCAGTGCTCCCAGCGCTTCCGCCCCGCCTCGTCAGACGCGAGGCCGGAGGCGAGGGCTCTGCGCATGCGCGGCGCAGGCGCACTTGGAGCCGGTGCTGTTGCCCTCAGGTGAAGGCGGATCTGCCATCGTGAGTTCCAGGTGGGCGCGCGGGGCCCACGTAGGGCAGGAGGCCAGCCCCGGGGGGATCGGGCCCGGGACTCCACGGAATCTGGAGGCCGAAGCCCGCGCGCACGCAAGGTCTCCGCTGCTTCCCCGACGCCTGTTGCGTGGCCGCGGGACCCGCCGCCCTCTCGGTTGGGCTGCCCAGTCCCAGGCCAGGCGTGTGCACCCAGAGCTTCCGCGCCTCTCCTCGGGCTCCTCTGCTGGATTGCAGCGCCGGCTGGGCACCAGGAGTGCAAAGCGAAAACCCCACGCCGGCCGTTCTGTTATCCACGGTCTCCAAGGAGACACGGACACTAGAACAACACTTCCGTGTGCTACATAGTAAAGCACCAAGGTACTCGATCCAGGGGTGGCGTGCAGTGGGGAGGTGAGCTTTGGGTCGGCTGTCGCCCCTCGGCTACCGGCGGGATCCAGAAACCGGAAGTCACCACCGATACCCTTCTCACCTTTACTCCCAGCTGGTCACTACTGTGTCGGGAGATTCTACCTTCTTTTCCGACTAACATGTATTTCTCTCCAGTCCTTTCTGCGGTGTCTCTAGTGCAGGCCACCGCCATTTCTAACCTGGACGACTCCAGGAGCGTCTTTGCTGCTCAAGGATTCTTCCTTTGCCCAGATCCACAAAGATCTATAACGTATTTCTAATCATGACGCCTTTGCTTTAGACGTTAAAGTTGCTTCACACTGGAAGGCTTGCAAAGGTCTTCATTATCTGGTCCTTACCCACCTTTCCTAGTTTCTCACTGCTTTCTCTAGCATCTCTTCCCCAGCCACATTGAACTTACTGGAACTTGCTTTTTTTTTTTTTTTTTTGAGACATAGCAGTCGCCCAGGCTGGAGTGCAGTGGCGCGATCCTGGCCCACTGCATCCTCCTCCTGCCGGGTTCAAGCGATTGTTCTACCTCAGCCTCCCGAGTAGCTGGGACTACAGGCGCGCGCCACCACGCCCGGCTGATTTTCGTATTTTTAGTAGAGACGGGTTACCATGTTGGTCAGGCTGGTCTCGATCTCCTGGCCTCAAGTGATCCGCCCGCCTGGGCCTCCCAAAGTGCTGGGATTACAGGCGTGAGCCACCTTGCCAGCCAACTTCTTTCTTTTAATGCTGAGATACCTTTCTTTACTCCATACTCCCTTTGGTTGGCATTGTTTAGATGTAGGTTAAGAGGTCCGGCCGGGCGCCTCTTAGTCCCAGACTAAGTGCTCACCACGCCTGTAAGTCCCAGCACTTTGGGAGGCCGAGGTGGTTGGATCACAAGGTCAGGAGATCGAGACCATCCTAGCCAACATGATGAAACCCCATCTCTACTAAGAATACGAAAATTAGCCGGACATGGTGAAGCGCGCCTGTACTGTAGTCCCAGCTACTCGGGAGGCTGAGGCAGGAGAATCACTTGAACCCGGGAGGCAGGCGGAGGATGCAGTAAGCCGGTATTGTGCCACTGCACTTCAGCCTGGCGACAGAATGAGACTCCGTCTCAAAAGGGAAAAAAAAAAAAAAGCAGTTCCTCTATGAGGACTGCCTTTTCCTACCCCCTCAACTAAGCTAGGCCTCTGCTGGATATTCCCTAAGCATCCTGTAGTTCCCTGACCTTAATGTGCATCAGGCTTTATTGTATAATTACCTGCTGATATTTTTTCCTTGTGGACTGTAAGCTCACTGAGGTCTGCGACAAAGAAATACTTAATCTTTATGGCCTGGCACATCCTGGATAATCCAGAAAGGTGGTGCCTGCGGCTAAGGGTGAGAGTGGCATTCCAGGCAGAGGGACTAATGTTTATAGACTTGAAGGTGGGAAAATGCTGGCCTTATTAAATAGTATGTGGTTCGGTGTTGAGGTCTTGTGCTTGGTGGGGCCTAAGGAGAAAGAGGCTGGTGGGAGATTGAGACTGGAGATTGGAGGGCCTTTTATGTCACATTAGAGTTTGGGTGGGGCATGATAGCTCATGCCTGCAGCCTAGCACTTTGGGAGGCCAAGGCTGGGGGATTGCCTGAGCCTAGGAGTTGAAAACCAGCCTGGGCAACAAAGCAAGACCCTGTCTCTACGGAGTTGTGGTTTTTTTGTTTTTTTTTTTGTTTGTTTTTTTGAGACAGAGTCTTACCCCGTTGCCCAGGCTGGAGCGCCGTGGTGCAATTTCGGCTCACTGCAGCCTCTGCCTCCTGGGTTCAAGTGATTCTCATACCTCAGCCACCCAAGTAGCTGGGATTACAGTTGCGCATCACCACACCTGGCTAATTTTTGTATTTTTAGTGTAGACCGGGTTTCACCGTATTTGCCAGGCTGGTCTCGAACGCCTGACCTAAAGTGATCCGTCCATCTTGGCCTCTCAAAGTGCTGGGATTACAGGCGTGAGCCACCGTGCCCAGTATATACAGAAAATTTAAAAATTAAAAAACTTTTCTGGGCTTGGTGGTGTGCACCTATAATCCCAGCTACTTAGCAGGAGGCTGAGGTGGGAGGATCGCTTGAATCCAAGAGTTCAAGGCTGCAGTGAGCCATGATCAAACAACTGCATTACAGCCAGGTGACAGGGCAAGACTGTCTAGTAAAAAGTGTTTGCCCTTGATCTATAGGCAGCAGAGGCCTCTTGAGACACAGCTCTAAAAGGACCTCAGCAAAGCCTTATTTTTCTCCCTTTCTCTAAAGCTATAAAATCTTACCAGTCAGTATTTTGTTTCTGGATTATATTGCATGAGATGATGCTTATCCAAACTACTTGGCTCTCTTTCCCTCCCCAGCAGATTCTGCAGGCGGGAGAAGTGCACCGCCTGTTTTGCGATCCCTCCGGAGCATGGTTTTCAGTATTTACTCTGTGGTGTTTGGATGCGGAGACATGATCTGACTTGCAGTTGCCAAGAGCTCTGTTCCATCCTATTTGTTTCACCCCTCTGTCACTTATTTCCCTCTTCCTGACCACTTTGAGCCTGATGCCAGCCCCTCGCAGTCACCGCATTGCATCTGGATGAGCCACTTTTCTTCCTGATTCCCTGAGCTCTGGGGAGCATAGAGATAATGGGGTCAGGGGGCGGTGTGGCCACTGTGAAGGAAGCAGCTTAGGCCCCAGAAGTCTCCAGCAGTGGGCAGTACCGAGACGACCAGGGTGTGATCTCTCACCCCAAGGAGCTGAATTTGGGTTTTCTGTGGGAAGGTGTCTGGGAAGAGTATCAGAGACCAATAGCGCTCAGGGGGCCCTTCCTCGGGGCTGTCCAGCGTGGAAGCACCCCGTCCTACACTAGTGGTTCCTGATTGCGGTTCTGAATCAGATTCACGGGGGCATTTATTTATGTATTTATTTTGATATGGAGTCTTACTGTCGCCCAGGCTGGAGTGCAGTGGCGCGATCTCAGCCCACTGCAACCTCTGCCTCCTGGGTTCAAGAAATTCTGCCTCAACCTCCCGAGTAGCTGGGATTACTGGCAGGCACCACCATGCCTGGCTAATTTTTTTGTATTTTTTAGTAGAGATGGGATTTCAACATATTGGCCAGGCTGGTCTCAAACTCCTGACCTTGTGATCGACCTGCCTCGGGCTCCCAAAATGCTTTGGTTACTGGCATGAGCCACTGCACCCGGCTTAGGGCAGCTTTTTATAAGCACAGATGCCCAGGTCTTATTCCTGAAGATTCCAATTCAGTAGATCTGGGTTGAGGACCAACCATCTGCCTGTTTTAAGAAGCCACAGGTTATTTTTGAGGTGTAGCAAGGATTGAAAGAACAGAAAACTTGGGATTTGGAAAACTAGTTGTGACTCTGGGCAGTGAGTCAGTTTCCTAATGCACACATTGGGGAATTCTATAGGAATGCTGTGAGAAGCAAATAATCCATGGAGAGAGTGCTTTATACAGCGATACACTACTGAGGCACACTTGCCTTCAACATCAGCTACCAGCCTAGTAAATGGAAGTATAAATGGAAAGGACATAACTTCCTTTAGTTTTGCCAGGTTGGTCCCTGTGATTCTAACTGAGCTCCAGGAAGGAAGGGAAGAAAACAGGGAAGAGAAAGGAATGTGTATTTGCCTCTGGGAAGGATAAACAGGATATGCCCTCTGGACCAGTAGTTTATAATATTTTCCCCATTAAGAATCCTTCTCATTTTTCCTCAATGGATTAATATCTTTAAATTTCATTACATTTCCCTAGTCTTCATGAAAATTGCCAGCCAGAAAAGTCGGCTCGGGGCCCCCCTAAAAAGAAGGAATGGCCGGGAGTGGTGGCTCACACCTGTAATGCCAGCACTCTGGGAGGCTGAGGTGGGTAGATCTCCTGAGGTCAGGAGTTCAAGACCAGCCTGACCAACATAGTGAAACCCCGTCTCTACTAAAATTACAAAAAGTAGCCAGGCATGGTGTTGGGCGCCTGTAATCCCAGCTACTCTGGAGGCTGTGGCAGGAAAATCACTTGAACCTGAGAGGCAGAGGTTGCAATAAGCTGAGATCGTGCCATTGTACTACAGCCTGGGCAACGAAAGCGAAACTCTGTCTCAAAACACAAAAAAAGAAAGGGGAGTGCATGCCTGCATACATATCAAGTGCTGTAGGAAGGATATTCAAGAAATTTAGGGCCCTGGGAGGTGGGGAGACTTACAAAAATGGACATGACAGAATTATTTGAAGTCTTAATCATGAGATGACTGTTCAGTTCTTTAAAATACCACACCTGATTGGTTTTGAATGGCAGAGGCCACCAGAGTCCTTGCAGATTGTGCGCTCTGCGTGGGTGGACATTGTTTACCATGAGCCCCAGGACCTAGAACGCCACTTGCACACTGGAGGTGCTCAGATCTTTTTTTTTGCAGATAGGGTCAGATGTGTTACTGGGCACCGCACATTCACTGCAGCCTTGACCTCCTGGGCTTGAGTGATCCTCCCACCTCAGCCTCCCAAGTAGCTGGGACTACAGGTATGCCTCATACTTAGCTAATTTATGTATTTTTTTTTTTTTGTAGTGGGTTTCTCCATGTTGCTCAGAGTGGTCTCGAACTCATGGGCTGAAGTAACCTGTCCACCGCAGCCTCCCAAAATTCTGAGACTGAAGGCATGAGCCACTGTGCCAGGCCTAGAATATTTGTTGAATGAATGAATGGAAGCCCAACTAGACAGCATTTTGGAAAACAGTAACAAGTTATAAGATTAATACCATACAGTCACTAAAAGGTTAATTATGAACAAGTAGAAACAGCATATTTTTAATAAATGAAATAGACAAATGGAATTGTACTACGATTGCAATAATGAAAACTTTCACATATTGCTTGTATAGGAATAAAGACAAAGTCATATAAAAAAATGGGGAAAATTAAACCCTGGTCATCCATTGTCCTGAGTTTTTTTAAAGGGCCCCAGTAGAGCATTTAAAATGGGGTAAGAAAAATGGGGAAAAATAAAATTACTTAATCTTTAAAAAGAAGACAAGTGTATGCTCACCTAATTGGACTTATATAATGAGGCTTGCTCTAGCTTATCAAGAATCAGAATACAGGCTGGGCGCAGTGGCTCACGGCTGTAATCCCAGCACTTTGGGAGGCCGAGGCGGGTGGATCACCTGAGGTCAGGAGTTTGCGACCAGCTGGGCAATATGGTGAAACCCCGTCTCTACTAAAAAAATAGAAAAATTAGCTGGGCTTGGTGGTGGGTGCCTGTAATCCCAGATACTCGGGAGGCTGAGGCAGGAGAATCGCTTGAACCCAGGAGGTGGAGGTTGCAATGAGCCGAGATTGTGCCATTGCACTCCAGCCTGGGCAACAAAAGTGAAATTCTGTCTCAAAAAAAAAAAAAAGAGAGAGAGTACAACCAAGATACTTTTAAGTTATGCAATTGTCACTAACATGAATTTTTTCTGTTGTCATTTTGCTTCTTGGAAGGATTTTTAAAATGGCTGCAGCTCCTCAAGCACCGGGGCGGGGATCTGTCCGTAAGACGAGACCTCTGGTTGTGAAGACATCGTTGAACAACCCATACACCATCTGCTGGAGCCCTCTAGAGAGCGAGGATATGCACTTCATCCTACAGACGCTTGAGGACAGGCTTAAAGCTATTGGACTTCAGAAGATTGAAGATAGGAAGAAAAAGAACAAAACCCCTTTTCTGAAAAAAGAAAGCAGAGAGAAATGCAGCAATGCTGTTGATATTAGTGAGGATCTGAAGGAGAAAACAGACGCTAAGCAGCAAGTGTCAGGGTGGACACCTGCACACATCAGGAAGCAGCTTGCCATTGGCGTTAACGAAGTTACCAGGGCCCTGGAAAGGAGTGAACTGCTGTTAGTTCTGGTGTGTAAATCAGTCAAGCCTGCCATTATCACCTCACACCTGATTCAGTTAAGCCTCAGCAGAACTGTCCCTGCCTGTCAGGTCCCCCGGCTCAGTGAGAGAATCGCCCCCGTCATTGGCTTAAAATGTGTTCTAGCCTTGGGCTTCAAAAAGAACACCACTGACTTCGTGGACGAGGTAAGAGCCATCATCCCCAGAGTCCCCAGTTTAAGTGTACCATGGCTTCAAGACAGAACTGAAGATTCTGGGGAAAATTTAGAGACTGAACCTCTGGAAAGCCAAGACAAAGAGCTTCTGGACACTTCATTTGAAGATCTGTCAAAACCTAAGAGAAAGCTTGCTGACGGTCAGCAGGCTTCTGTAACATTACAACCCCTGAAAATCAAGAAACTGATTCCAAACCCTAATAAGAAAAGGAAACCACCCAAAAGTAAAAAAGCTACTCCAAAGTAATCTTGCCTAAAGTTGCCATGTCATACTGTTTGTGAAAGCACACCTTGTGAAGAAGCCTTACAACTAATAAAATGAGTTGTATTTACATAGATTCATAGAGTCCTGTTTGGTAATATTCAAATGTGTAAGACTCTTTGTAACTATGGCACAGATACTAAGTGCAGGAAATATTCAAAAATAGGAATACCCAAACAGAAGTTTATTGAAACTAGTGTTCATGCATATTTAAATTGACTTCTTCCTTTTCTTTTTTTGAGACAGAGTTTCACTCTTGTCCAGGCTGGAGTGCAATGGTGCAGTCTCGGCTCACTGCAACCTCTACCTCCCAGGTTTGGGCAATTCTTCTGCCTCAGCCTCCCAAGTAGCTGGGACTACAGGTGTGCACTGCCATGCCCAGCTAATTTTTGTATTTTTAGTAGACACGGGGTTTTACCATGTTGGCCAGGATGGTTTCCATCTCTTGACCTCGTGATTTGCCCACCTCAGCCTCCCAAAGTGCTGGGATTACAGCTGTGAGCCACGGTGCCTGACCTTTTTTTTTTTTTTTTTTTATTAAACAGAGTCTTACTCTGTCACCCAGGCAGGAGTGCAGTGGCACAATCTCGGATCACTGCAACCTCTGCCACCTGGGTTCAACGATTCTCCTGTCTCAGCCGCCTGAGTAGCTGGGATTACAGGTGCATGCCACCACACCCAGCTCACTTTTTTGTATTTTTAGTAGAGATGGAGTTTCACCATGTTGGTCAGGCTGGTCTTGAACTCCTCACCTCATGATCTGCCTGCATCGTCCTCCCAAAGTGCTGGGATTACAGGCCTGAGCAGCCGTGCCCGGCCTAAATTGACTTTTTCAAAGGCTGGTAGAGTGCCTGTGAGCAAGAATATTGGTGTCCTACAACGCTTAGCATTTTCCTATCAAACCTGGAAAATGTGCCACAGTAAATGTTCTAGTCAGTCAGGTAGATGGAACTGAATTGGGGAAGCGTTATCCGTTTTAAAGGAAAGATCCCAAATGCCAAGCAATCTATTGTCTTCAGGAGCAATAATCATTTTTCACTTCATGTCAATTTGCCTTTTAGGTAGGAATAGACATGGGCTTGGGAGAAAGGCTTAATATTTACAGAAAAAATAGCAACAACACAGAGAAAGCCAGATAAGGTATTTTGATTGGGAACAGTTCACCCCCATTACGTGATTCACTTACCTCCTTGGAAATCTAACATGTATAAAAGGTATTATGGTAATTGGATGAAATGTGGCCAAAAGATTAAAAAAACTGAGGAGCTTGTGTTCTCAGAGGTGGGTGTGTGACAAGAGTCCTTCAGGATAGGAAATGGAGCATAACCAGTGCTCTCTGTTAAGAGTGTTTACTGTTTACAGTGTGTATGGAAAAGTTAGTTTCTATAATTTAGAAGGAAGGTATTACTAAAGATTTTTCCAGCTGAAAGTCGGGCTGACTCATGGGTTATGCCACCTCTTGATTTAAATTTTACTTAGTGCCATCTTGGCCAAAAAGAAAAAAAAAAAGATACCTTATTGAATAGAACATTTTCATTACAGACAAAGTACAGTATAATGCAGTTTTAAATCTACAAGACACTATATATCGCATTTAAATTTAGTTTTAATAGCTACTTCATAAGCAGTTTAATTCTCAAAAATGTTAATTAGCAATCTGCTTCTGTTATAGAGGCAAATGTAGTTATTCTATTTAAAAGTGATTAATAATTTGATAACAAATTATGTAAATGACTCTTTAAAGGAGCAGTGTAACTATCACCATGAGGTAAGCGCATGACAAAATTTCCAACTGGCAATTCTGCAATTATATTATTTTTGAGATGGAGTCTCAGTCTGTTGCCCAAGCTGGAGTACAGTGGTGTGATCCCAGCTCACTGCATCCTCCACCTCCTGGGTTCAAGCGATTCTCCTGCCTCAGTTTCCTGAGTACCTGGGATGACAGGTGCATGCCACCATGCCTGGCTAATGTTTTTATTTTTAGTAGAGATAGAGCTTCACCACGTTGACCAGGCTGGTCTCAGACTCCTGACCTCAAGTGATCTGCTCACCTCGGCCTCCCAAAGTGCAGGGATTACAGGTGTGAGCCACCGCACCTGACCGATTCTGCAATTATTTGAAAACCTACTTTGCATAGACTTTGTGCCATGAAAATGAGTGGGAAGTAAATTCCTAAACTAGAGCTTTCACTCCCAGGTTAAGTCAAAATCTCCTTTACTTAATGCCAGTATCTCAAACCCTGTTCCAGTGAATGAGGACCGTTTTGTTTCTTGAAGCCTTTCTCCTGTTAGGAAAGAACGCTAAGGAAATTAGGGTGGAACCATCCGAAATTCGAAGTCTTCCATTGTCTCCAAGAGAGGTCCTAATTATGCACTACTGTGGGGCCCACATCGCCCTCTGGTGGTAGTCTCAGGGATGCCACAGCTGTGGGTTGGTCTTTAGAATCATAGCAAACTACAGAAAGGAGAGTTCACCTCCTTCGTAGTGACCAAAGTCAACAAACTCTGTAAAAGGCCAGAAAGTGAGTATCTTAGACTTTGCAGGCCACACAATCTGTCACAACAACTCAACTCAGCTTTGTAGTGTGAAGCAGCCACTGGCAATATGTAAATGAAAGTGGCTGTGGCCAAGTGTGGTGGCTCATGTCTGTAATCCCAGTACTTTGGGAGGCCAAGGCAGAAGGATCACTTGAGGCCAGGAGTTAAAGACCAGCCCAGGCAACATAGCAAGACCTCGTCTTTACAAAAAATGAAAAAATTAGCAAGACATGGTGGTATGCACCTGTAGTCCCAGCTACTCAGGACTCAGAAGCAGGAGGATCATTTTAACCCAGGAGTTTGGGGCTATAGTGAGCTGTGACTGTGCCATTGTATTCTAGCCTGGGCAACAGAGTGAAACCCTGTCCTCAAAAAAAAAAGTATGACTATGTTCCAATAAAACCTTATTGAGGGACACAGGAATTTGAATTTTGTATAATTTGCATATGTCACAAAATGATGTCATTTTTTGGCTTTTTCTCCTCATTCAAGGAAATAAAAACATTCTTAGCCTCTGGGCTATACAAAAACAAGCAATGGGCTGGATTTAGCCCACAGGCCATAGTCTGGTGGCCCCTGCCTGGTATAAGATATGACTGGTTTCACTGGACTCATAACTTGAAGGAAATGCCATCATGTCTAAAACAACTCTTTCTGCACTTAACATCCTAGGCACTGGCACTTATAAAGGCAGGAAAAGCATCTACATTTTTTTTTTTTTGAGACGGAGTCTTGCACTGTCACCCAGGCTGGAGTGCAGTGGCACGATCTCGGCTCACTGCAACCTCCGCCTCCTGGGTTCAAGTGATTCTCCTGCCTCAGCCTCCCAGCAGCTGGGATTACAGGTACCCGCTACCACACCCAGCTAGTTCTTTTTGAATTTTTATTAGAGATGGGGTTTCATCATGTTGGCCAGGCTAGTCTCAAACCCTCAAATGTTTCACCCACCTCGGCCTCCCAAAGTGCTGGGATTATAGGCGTGAGCCACCACGCCCGACCAAGGCATCTACTTTGTGGCATCTGAGTTGAGGCCAGGCTACGTGACCTTGGTTAGGATCTTATTTTTCCCATGGATTATTGGCAATACAAACACACATCTGTACACTATGAAAATTTTTCAAATTCTAGATTAAAAACACCATCAGTAACAAAATTATGAATACTTATTTACAAATAAGACATTTTCCATTAGCATGACACATGACAGTTTTCCTGATAAAGTCAGCATAGAGGAGTATGTGCAATTTTGCATAAGTAATAAAAACATTCAAACTCTCAATGCCCTGATAGCATGAATAAGTTCCACCAGGCATCTCTTTTGATTTTACAGTTTTTATTTCCTTTTCTTCATATATCCTTGATGTTGCTGAGAAGAAACTGAACTTTGCACAACAGCAGAAAAGTCTATAGTTAGTCGTGGGCACAGGCTCTTTCTTTTTTCTTCTTTTGTTTGAGACGGAGTCTTGTGCTCTGTCACCCAGGCTGGAGTGCAGTGGCTTGATCTCAGCTCACTGCAACCTCACCTCTCGGGTTCAAGTGATTCTCCTGCCTCAGCCTCCCAAGTAGCTGGGATTACAGGCGCACACCACCACACCCAGCTCATTTTTGTATTTTTAATAGAGACAGGGTTTCACCATGTTGGCTGGGATCGTCTCCATCTCCTGACCTTGTGATCCGCCCGCCTCGGCCTCCCAAAGTGCTGGGATTACAGGCGTGAGCCACCGCGCCCGGCCACAGGCTCTTACAGAGAGCATAGTGAGTGCTTGCACAAAACTTTGCTTTTGAAGCAATCCACTGACCTGGTGAAGATCAAAGTACAAACTTGTATGTTTATTGATTTGGCAACTCTGCTTATGGAGAAATACATGTACTAGTCACCAGTACATTTTAATATTGCTCTGCACTTAAATAACCCCCACCTGTCACTGAGCTACAGAAGTGTTGATTCCATAATGTTCCCAGTGATACCATGTAAGGTGATACCAGTAAAAAAATTTCCAAATGGATCTTTTGTTCTGTTACATGGACAAATGTACCATCACTTAAGAAACAGAAATGCAGCAGTTTATCTCCACACAATAGCAAAGACTTTCTTACATGACTGTAACTTCTACTTAGTCCATAGAAAACCAGTCCCTTTTCTAAGGGTGAAAAAATACCTCTCTTCAAGAGACAGGCAAAAATTTGAAAATTACAAGACTGTGCTCTTTATAGCCTTTCATCCCTCCCACAAATAGGTCAACAGTGAAAAAAGGATGAACTTTAATATTCTAGCTAGAAATGTGTACAAATGTCACATGTGGACTTTTGTCATCTTTTCTGATTATCGACTACTTCAATTTCACTTGAGTTGTGCTTTTATTCTTCTTTGGAATGGCAGTTCCAGAAATCATTAAATATTAACAAATGATGATGTCAGAGTTCTAGAAATAAAAATATCCATCTATTGTAGTACTAGTCCAACCTGAAGGGAGGGAAGAAATGGAATAGTAAGAAAAATTAGATCGCGATGTAGTACAACAGATCAGTCTTTCTAATA